GAGAGAGAGAGAGAGGACTCACTACATTACCACCTATCTCCCGTACTCGGTTTCTATACGGTTTTCCAACCGCGCGTCAAATAAATGAGTTCTCGTTTACCCTGACGTTTAAATAATACACACGCCTCTCCCTTTTAATCCTCCGATTCATCCGATATTCGCGAGAAGCCCAAAATTAGTTTCTCTTTGCTCGACAACAGAGAGAACTGTCGAGGAATCAGCGATATTACTTTGAATCAATGGCATTTTACGCCGGCCGACATTTACCGCGTGGAACAAAAGGCGCACGTACTTCGCCGTTTGTTATTCGCTGGTATTAACGTTTCCGCGGACTGTGTTTCTCGCGCGGCGAGTAGGCGCGAACTTCAGTATCGAGCTTCTCGTAACGTTTGCGAAGGTCGAACGGCGTCCGCGTCCGCCTCGAGATAATCGGAAGCGAGTGACGGGACGTCGTTCGAAAATCGATGCGAGCTTGTAATTTTTACCTTACGCCGTCTAACGACGGCATTGAATTGTTCAGCTCTCCTAGATAGCCTCGTTTCGCGTATACAGAAACGTATACAAAAAAGCTTCGAGCGAATTGAATTGAATTTCTTAATAAAGAAAATATATCTTTAACATTTCGAGTAATATTTCTCCTTGTTTAAATTATCGAGTATGCGAGTAAGGCTAAGAATGTTAAAAACGATGTGGTAAAAAGAGCATATGAGCCAAGCTGGATGGATGTTCCTGCTAAGTATATATTTTAAACGAAGCTCTTCGGAAATATATATTAAAAGCGGACGTTTCAATCTGTATCAGACCATCCTTAGCGTTCAACAAAAAACGGTAAATTAAAAACATGTCAATTATACATTGGTAACAAAAGAATTTAAGATGATGTTCTCTTTGTTTCTCTTTGTTTCCCCAGTCGATCCCTTTCGTGTCGCTCGCACGTTGTAATCAGACAAGCGTGCACAACAAATTACGAAATTTCATAGAAAGCCCAAATGCATTCTGAAATGTATTCTTAATGTTACACATGCGAAACACGGAAGTTACGCGCGACAGGATGTTTAGTTTGACTACTGAAAGCGCAACAGAGCGTTGAACATGGTCCCGGGACGAAGGCAATTTAAATCGCGGTGGACGGTTGCCAAGATGTTGGCGATGGCATCACGGCGGCGCTATCGTTACTTTACGCACTATGAATTCCGCGGTTTCTTTACTTTCTTTCCTTTTTTTTTTTTTTCTTTTGCGAGAAAACCAGCCGCGTCGTCGCGACCCGATTTCTTCACCGCCGGGGAGATTGATCCAGCCATGAAAGATGCGTAAAGATTTTATAAAATTACCGAGATTGCTTTCGAGGTTATCGAGGCAGAATTATTCACAATTCAAGGATGAGTGGTACTCTTATTCGATATAAATCGACCACGCCGGGGATTAGCGATCAATCGGCACGCGTGATTTCTTCCCAATTTCGTCGCGTTCGCGGATATAAAAGCGGCTCGGAAGCGGAAAACACCTCGATTCCCCCGATGCCGTGCTCGCATTGGTCCATGTAGGACGCGGGTAGCGTGTGACAATAGTGTGTAGCTATGGTTACATCACCTCCGATTCGCTGGGGAATAGGCGCTATAACAGGGCAGGGAAGAACGTCTCGACGTAGTGATTGCGCTGACCCTACATCGTCACGCGACCTGCTCCATAAATAAATATAGAAACGCACGGTCTCGTTAAGCGGACGCTGTATAACGAACACTGGCCTTAATTAGTTTGTTAATACGCCTAGACGATTCAGAATCTCACGTGGCGCGTATCAGGACGCGCGGAAAGTTCCGGAAAATGCTAACGAAGCCGCTGCATCGGATCGCCTCGAGACCGCTCAAGGAGACCTCCACTTCCGATTTGGAACAAAGGAAAATCCATTCGAGCGTCAGAATCACGCCGGCGGAACTGATTTAGCGATCCGCCGAAACCTCTCCGGGGAACCGCGTCTCAGCGTATACAAGAACAACCGACGTCACGATTCAGAGGGAGATTCACAGGAACGTTGCTTTTCCGAAAGAGGAAATGTGACACTCGTCGCGGAAACTTAAACGCTGAAATCGAGCTTCCTCCCCCGTCTCCCGGTAGCTTCGGTGCTCGCCACCGTAGATTAACGGCGCGTGCTGGTGAAGATAATTAAAAATGCCACGGTAGTTGGCAGTCACGTTGGCGGATCGAAGCGTACTCGAGCACTTTATCGCACCCGAGGCGCACCGCGGTATTACGGAGAATTTCCGTAATGCCGTTTTAAAATAACGGCCGGTGACAGCCACGGGTTGCAGCGCGCTGATAACTGCGTGTGTCGCGCGTGTGCGCATTCATCGCGGACAATGCGGGCGATCTTTTAAAAGAGATCTACTTCGCGCACCTATACAGCATCCCCGGTGGATGATGAGTATTAAAATCGCTTGCGTCACTGTCCGCGATGTTCTCCGTTAAGTGGACAGGCGGTAGGCCGCGCGGGCGCGAGCGCGATTATTCGCTGCCGGGATGCGTGTCTAATAATACGTAATGCACAATGTTCGCCGTATCGGGCGATCGGATCGAAGTCCTTCGGCTTCCCACGCGGCATATATCACACATATTTCTCCGTGTGTGGAAATAAATAAATGTACACCCGCACGGTCGCGAGACCGACCGAGCTTTCTGATCCTCTAGATTTCCACGACGAAATTTCTTCAAGATATAATTTTAGTATAGAAAGCGAGAGCGTGTAAAGATAAACGGTTGTGTAAGATAATATGAGTAAAGAGGCCTCTTTTATTTTTCAAACGTTCGATTCAATTTTATAAGTCGCTACATCTCACCGATCTCGTTCTTTATGAGATGCTCCGAGTCGAAACGCGCGACACTTTTTATTATCTAAATAAATTTATACGAAGCTCGGGAAGCGGAAGATGAAAATAGGAGGGCAGAAACAAAATTACAGGAAAATCACACGGAAAAATAAACGCAATATTTTTTGCATCAGCGACGGCCCGTGTGTTCCGTCGAGCGATCGCGATTGTGTCCAGGCAAAAGATATTTATCCTGCGGAGGATCTGTAAATGCATCGGCTCACGGAAAATGTAAAAATAATGTTTCAGCCGCGTGTAATAATGTAAACACTTTTATCGGCTATCGATTTCGGTCGACCTGCGCCGCTTCTTTTATTACGGGAGTATATATCGGGATACGTGATCCGAGATAGATTGCGGCTAACTAAGTCTAAGTCGTGGCATTAACGAAAGTCGATCTCGTCGATCGACTTAACGGGGACCGCGTGTCCGAAAGCGCATTTTGATCGTCGGCGGGTCGGCGCGGGCGTGCATTTCGATACAACGGCGCCCGAGAGGCGTAAAACATATTAATGACTAAATGGGAAAAAAAATAGCAGAAGGTCGTGATCCACTTATATGCATCTCTCTGCTTATTACGAGGCGTTACAGCCGGCGGCCGTTGCGGCCGCCCTGGCGGCACAATTGAACTATAAATAAATTTTCCGATACGCTGCTCTTTTTGCCGATGAAAAAATACACACACACACACACACACACACACACACATACACACACACACACACACACACACACACACACACACATACGTGCACGTATTGTCTTCTTGCATAAACGCGCGCGTAAATTGCGCCGTGCATATTTTTTACAGGTCCGTGTTCGTGTCGCACGGTCGCCGTTAACGTCAAACGACCTCCGGGTCCGCGCGCGGCTCTTCTCTTCCCCCCGTTGTAAAAAAAATCCCTCTCCATGAGTGCGTACGCAAACCGCGTTTCGAAAATCGAAGTCCACCGGGTGTCGCGTGGCGTACCGAGACCGCCGTTAATAACCTTTGATATTTCATTAATGAAGAACACTTCTTTGTTTCTCGCTCGGAAAGGTTACGGAGGAACGTAATAATAAAGCGTCGCTTCTCGAACGTTAAACATTTGTCTCCCTTTCGAGGCGCGGGGCACGAGGGGAGGAGGGAGAGAAACGTACTGTCGGGAGTAAAAGAAAATTCGCGATCCGATCGGCCTCCGCGGCCTACATCTTCGTTCGCTTCATAGAAAGGAAAAAAGAAAAGGGAGGAAAAAAAATCCCTCTTCCCGTTCGGTTAATAAATATTAACCACGTTAATGCATAATCGGCCATATCGATCACGCTTTAAATTGGGCGAATGCGAGCTAAATCGGGCGGAGACTTTTGCATAATCGCGCGGCTGCACGTCGAAGATGTACCGCGCCTCCCCCTCGATGTCCCATCCCCCTGGGAAGCGAAGCCACCGCCGTTTGCCGTGGTGGATTAAGGACAGAATGGGTGCAAAAAGGATTCCGATTAGGGAAAAAGGAATGAATCGTGTATCAATCGGCGCGCACGCCTACCCGTTTTCCCAGGGTGAAACAGGTGGCACTCGCTATTACCGTGCTGCGGCTTTTATTACATTTTGCTCTCGCTAGTAGACATAAATGGGACATGTCGATCGAATTACTTCTAACGCGCGCCATACCTGACGACGAGGCGAACTATATATATATATATATATATATGCGATGCTAACTATACGGCTAGGTCGGGGATGTCTCTTAAGAGAAAACGGTAGATGTATGTACAACCTAATTCGGTAAAGGGGTATAACACATAGTCGGCCGGCCAGGTATTTCTCGTCGATATATATACAACGGCGTGCATCGGAAGTCCCGCCGGATCCCCTCCACCCCACCTGGCCGGATTCGCTTCGCTTCGTGAATTTCGAGTTGGTCTTTCTTTGGCGAAATTTTAAAGAGCTTTTAACCCCCGGTAACTTTTCCAGCCCGCCCCATCTAAGCGCCGCGCCGCCGACAGAGAAAAATGAGAAGAAAGAGGGAGAAGAAAGGGCGGAAGTAAAAAAGGAAAAAAGTCTCGCGTGAATTAAAAAGCAAACGCTGTATCGCGAAAAGTGTGTTGCGCGGTTATAAAAATAGGACAAGGATAAGGAGGAAGAAAGACAAGTAGATAGTGACAGAAGCAGGCGTAATAAGGTTTATCTAATCTGAAATCTTCGGGCGAGTTCTCGCTGAAAACGGATCGGGCTTCCCTAAAGCCTTTGACAATCGACTGCTCGAGAAAACGCGCGATTTCTGATACAACCTTTGTAGTATTCGCCGAAGCTTCCGCCTTTGCGTCAAAGAGCGAAGCGAGAACTCAAGATGCATAAGATCTCGACATTGGAACATTCTTTCCTCCGGATTATCACGGGAGATCGACGACTCTCCTGTTTCTATCTTCTAGTGGATGATACGCCAGTTATAGCAAACGATTCGATCGCAATTAAAATTCGCGTGATCTCTCTCATTTCCTCATCTATGCTTAAACCAGTGTTAACACAAATGGAGATGTGTCGCGAACATCGCACTCCAGATACCTCCCTTGAATAAATGTCTTGAATAAGAAAAAGAACCATTTTTATGGCATAAAAATTTAATCTTTAATTTTTTCGTCGTTTCTAACAAAATCTCCATCGCAAATTATGTCTCGTGATGACAAAGAACAGAAATTATGAAATTAACGAAATATTTCGCTCCCCGCGATAAGATGAAAATTGCACAACATGATCATTATCATTATCATTGATGCTGTCACGTCCGGCTGAAAGGCAAGACAGGTGGCAGATTGTTATCGCGGATTGTAATAAGTTCGTTCTCCCTTCAACCTCCACTTTTCGCGCTTGTCTACGCTTTCTCTCTCTCTCTCTCTCTCTCTCTCTCTCTCTCTCTCTCTCTCTCTCTCTCTCTCTCTCTCTCTCTCTCTCTCTCTCTCTCTCTCTCCCTCTCCTTCCATTTTTTCCCCTTCTCGTTTTCCTCGCCAAGCGTGAACTACGACACACCGTTTCACTTAGCGCGCAGAGAGTAATAAAGTGCAGCTGGAAAGAGCGAACCTGATGCGAGCTCGGGTCGGGGGAATTCAAAGCTTTCGTGCAATGCGACCGGAACTGCAATTGAAGTTTGACATCGCCACGAAATGTTACGTCCGCCCGATTCGATCTTCGTGTTTACGATCCCCGAGCACGGTATTTGCCGCCCTATAAATTTACATCGCGATATTTGTCTAATCGACGTCACATCGTAACTGGTTACTAAATTTTCCTTTCCAGTATCGACGTGTTTCTGATAATGAAAAAAAATATATATATATGTATATATCTTGACAAATTAAGGAACATGATTGATACGCGTTGTAAATACACGAGCGATCGTCGTTTTTTTCTTCCTTCTGACGCCAGAGAACTCGGCTTCAGAAATCGGAATACGGTATTCCGATGCTATCCGAAGCGCCGATAAAATCGGCGAGATTCGTTGGCAACACGAAACGGAGATGACATAACGGCGACGACACGTGATAAAAGTGCTATAATAATCTTACGTAAAGCCGGAGCTGCGATCGCCGGCGGTACCGATCGCAGCTCGCGAATAGCAAGCGGAAGCGCGTCTCCGCCCATGCGAGGATAAATTAAGTCGCGAATATTTGTCTTTGAGAAATGATTTTCTTCTCGTGCACACTATGTACAATCGGTTCACTTACGATATCACGATGAGATCGACAACTATCGATGCATTGTCAGCTGCAATACGCTCATCCGCATTTTCTTGATAGACATGTCATTCGCATCAACTTTTTAAAATACAAATTGCCTTAATTGTCACTTATTTGTCACATTATCCATCTGTGATAACCAGAGCCGAATTTAAAATAAATCGTTCGTACGTGCCAAAATTATCAAGAAAACACGAGTGTCGCTTGCACAATTAACAGCTAAACGTAACACGTAAAATCAGTGTTAAATATTCTCTGGACAGAATGAAAGAAAAAGAGAGAAATCGCGGATTATATATATTATTTTCTTACGTTCGTACGTGCAGTAGCTCAAATTGTGTACATAAGTGCCCCTCCCCGTGCCAACAAGAACGTACACACACACACACACACACACACACACACACACACACACACACACACACACACACACACACACACACACGCACGC